AAACAATGCACACTTTGTAAAGCATGCAGGCACAACTCAATGAGTTTCATTGCCAAGAAACGGGGAGAGATTTCCTTAGACGAGTCCAAAAACAAATTCAATGAGGCTACTGCAGTCACTGAGGTCAATGTTAATAAGTCACTCCAAGAATCATTGATTTCCTTTTGGTAAGCCACTCTCCAGGCCTTGCGAAGGGTTTTGCTCGCTTCCAAATCCTTAGATTGGTTCGAGCCATGAAGCAGCCTGTTGACTCTGGTAGGCCAGCTTGGGCAAACATGACAGTTTTAACAGATTGAGAAACAAGAGACGGGGACTGTGAAGGAGGATGCACAGTTCGTGTACTTGTGGTTGGTGGTCACCTCATTGAATTGGTAATACATGGGGCTCGCCTTGGGCTTGATCAAGTATGGCTGTTCACCTGAGACCATTGAGACATATTGAGACCATGTCAAAGTTTAGAAGAACAGGTTGCAAGTAAGTTTAGAAGAACATTGATGTTGTGAGTTGTGCGCCGCCCAACCTCCCGCCTTTGTCAACTCCACTCACCATTGGGCCCACCAACTCATGGGAATTGAAATAGGCATCTGTGACACCAGCGTCCTCCATTTCCCTCAGCAGTTGCCGCAGCTGCAAATGCTTGAGTCTTGAGTGCTTTTGCCCTTTTCATCGGGCACTTCCAATACAACTTCCTCCATATCGCTGGTCCAAGAGATTGGCATCACCCTGGCCAAATCACCTGGCAAATAGCAGTATGGTACTCAGCACGGTAACTATTCAAACCCGATTGCTAAGTCACTGAATGAGGGCTGAAGGGAATCGACGTTCAGATTTATTTTCCAACACAGGCGGTCCCATGTTCCATCTTTTGGTGATGCAAATCACCATCAAACCCCGGTTAGGATAATGACACTTCGGTCAGTGTCACAAAAAGTGCAACCTAGCGTGCTCTCACAAAGCCGTATCCGACAACACGGATGCCATTGGACAACAAGTTCGGAACCAATCAGAACACATTAAGTTTTTCTCTGAAGATGTGTTGGTCAGCTAGGTTGCTTCCCCTAAGTACACTACACAGTGGAATCATCCACTACCTCTTCACATTCAGAGATTTCAACAGCAGCAGGATTTGCCGATAAGTTATCGGCTTCTTCCACTGTCTTTGCCACTTCCGGCTCCTGCCCTTGCGGCGCCGCGAGAGGTTCTGAGACATCCACGGCGGCTTTGGTGCGCTTCGCTGGAACCAGGCGCCTCCTGCTCAACTCCGAGTGAGACATGTTTTTCATTGAATTAAGTCGCTCAGGATGTGTTTTCCACCTGAAGCAATGGGGATGGCATCGGGGGTTGAAATGATTTTTGGGCAGGCACTCCTCTCTGGCCATGCTCAAAACTGCCTTCTTGGAAAGAGTGAGTTTTCCTGCTGTAGCCTCTTGGTAGATTCTTCGATGTGCTTCCAATACACAGATCGCATGCCAGGAAGGCCACAAACTCCACTTTTCTTGGCCTGGTCCACGCATGGATGTGTGAGTTTTGCTGTTCAAGGCAATAGGCAATATAATAGGTATTGCACTCTTGACTCTTGACAGGTTTCGAAACCAACTAGTCTTGAAAAATGGTCACGGGGCCTTTTTGTCCACATCATCCTCAGCCTCACCGTTCTGCGCACCCTTAGCCTTTCTCTTGTTTGATTTCTTTGGTTCCACTATGTCCTTTGTCTCCTCCTTTGCTGCCTCCTGGTCCTTTGTCTCCTCCT